TATATAAGTTGAACAACATGGGACCTAAGATGGAGCCTTGAGGCACGCCATGTGTTATCGTAAGCTCATCAGATAGAAAGGTGCCTAATCGAGTAGACTGCTTGCGGTCAGTGAGGTAACTATCGAACCGTTTAAGAGCCTGGCTTGATGTGCCTAGGCTGCGTAGTTTGAGAAGAAGTGTACTGTGGCAAATACTGTCGAAGGCCTTGCTGAGGTCTATAAGGACCATAGCCGTCAATTGCTGTTGGTCTATAGCCCTGAAGATACGATCAGTAACCAAAAGGCTCAGAGTTTCCGTAGAATGCTTATTGCGGTTCCCGCTCTAATGATGAATGAGTTTGTCTTGCTTAGTCAGGAAGTCATTAAACTGAATCAAGGCGATCTTCTCAGCTACTTTAGAATGCACAGGAAGCAACGAGATCCGCCGGTTGTTTTTGGGGACCTCATGATCACCGTCTTTTAGGTGGGGTACAATCACAGACTTTTTCCAAGCCCTAGGGAATTCAGAACAGGCAACCGAGGAGTTGATTAGTCTAGTTAAAGTCGGAAGTATGTAAGGGAGGCTTTGTTGGACGGCATACCTCTCGGACTTCGCAACAGGACAAAGGTTTAAACTCGAATAAGCCTTCACCAGACTTCGGTGAATTATTGCTACAAGAGGGGAGGTAATCAGTGAGCCCAAACGACCGGGCCAACTCAGCGGATTTAGCAGCTGCATTTACTCCGAAAGATATAAAAAACTGGTTGAATTCATTAGCGAGAATACTGGAATCCTTGGTGTAATGCGTGGTGCAACTCGATTTCTTAGGTAGTGCGCGCCGAATAGTTTTCCAAATTGCCCCGGTATTGTTTTTATTTGCGCAGATTTGCTCATTGAAATATTCTTTTTCTGCCTTCCGTAGAATAGATTTTACTTCCTTTTTCAGGTTTCTGAAAACCTGCCAGTCATTCACCGACCCAGTCCTGCGCATAGAGTCCCTTGTCTTTATGAGATCCTTGATATAGTCAGTGATAAATGGATTCGGCTTGCGTTTTAGCTTTACGGTTTTCACAGGAGCATGAGCATTCAGACAGGTTAGAAATAAGTCATTAAACGCATCCAACTTTTCATCTACAGAATTTATCAAGTCAATCGTATCCCATGGAATATGCGCTATATCATTTGCAAATTGGTCGGCATTGTACTTCCGGAAACTTCGTGCTGTGATATAATTCGTAGCTTGTTTAGGTGCTCTCAGATTCAAGACGGCAAAGGCTAAGTAGTGATCGCTAATAGTCAAGTTGAGAACATCGCCGGATTGAACCGAATCAGGATTGAATACCAGGATTAGGTCTAACAGGCTGCAGGAGTTCTTGGTCACTCTGGTCGGTTTCTCAATCAGTTGTTTAGCATTCACAGAAATGCAAAAAGAGCGCAGGGCATCACCTCTAGGGTTTTTGGTCAAAAGGTCGCAATTGACGTCTCCAGTGAGGGCGATATCCCTATTTAGTGATAAAGCCTGAGTATACTTTGGCATAAGGTCGCTCTCTAGGCAATTGAGTCCTATATCGGGGGGTCTCTGTAGACGATGCAAATCAAAAAGGAGCGCCGTTTCTTGCTTTGGACTTGAAGCCATAGCTGGTGTAGGCCGGAAACTGATATTTCAGTTAAATCTTTTAGGATGTCAGTCTTCAGGGTAATCTTGATATAGGCACAAACACCGGCACCAGTTTTGTCTAGGCGAACTAACCTGTAAAGCTCTACACTGGCATTCGTAACTGTGGAGTTAAACCACGTCTCCGAAAAGGTTAAGATATCAAAATTATTCTGCAGGGCCATTTCTTTTACCTCTAGAAAGTGGTGTCTATTTTTCAGGGACTCAGCATTCATATGGGCTATCTTCAGAAGCTTGTTTTGGTTGTTATACATCGTTGGCTGCGCTGGCTTTAATGGTATTTGAATACAATTTGCGCTTACGTGACCACGCAAACAAAGTCTGTGATTGCTGTCTGTTTCCAATGCGGGTAGCTATTTTGTTATTTGAAGCACCCGGCAACGGATGGACGTCTCCACTAAGAATGATGCACATCTCCGCAAAGTTAAAAGTGGCTTCTGTTCCTTTGTTTCTCTGTCTCTGCGGACGGCGTTGTCTTCGCTGGGTTAAGCGATATTTCCGCTGCTCTGCGGTTTCTTGGTGCCGCCTTCTTCTTCACTGTTCGTGCAGGATTTCGGGTCGCTGTTCTTCCTCTTGCGGAGTTTCGGTGGTAAATCTTCAAAGGCCAGGATTACTAGACACTTGTTGAATCCATTGTTGTTGTGTTTGCTGTTCTGTTTGATGTGCCTTAGTTATTGTTCGTGATCACGATAGTAAACATCGTTTCGCACACGATTAATAAACACGTCACACTTCATGAATAATACATGGCGTGCACTTTGCATCGTCACTCACAACCACTGTCATCGGTCGCAAACCGATTGTCTGGAAACCCAAAATGCACCTTGACGACGTCAGTCTGGATGACGTCAGGGCAGATACCAACTAAACCGATAGAAATATAGCAAAGAGTCCATCACACACCTCGCTTACTTAGCAATCCTCGTGGGAGTCACACGTGAGGTCGAAAACCAGTTGCCTGGAAACCCAAAATGCACCATGACGCCATTACTCGTGATAACGTCAAGGAAGACATCAAACAAATCGATAGAAATATACCAACAACTCATCACACTTCGTTTAGCGATCCTCGTGGGAGTCACGTGCCAAGTCGCAAACCAGTTGCCTAGAAACCCAATATTCACCTTGACGCCAACAATCTTGATAACGTCAAGGGCTCAAGGCAGACACCAACCAAAGCGATAGAAATATAGCAAAGAGCCCATCACATTTCGCTTAGTGATCCTCGTGGGAGGCACAGGCGATGGTTATTATTTTGTTTTTCAAGGATGAGAAAAAAAAATTAAACCAAGGACATAATAAAACCAAAGCATTTAGTAGGTGCATTTCGTTCTGAATCAGTAACATGCTAGTTCTCACTCTACGACCACAATCGATCACCAGTTTACTAGCAGAAAAAAAAAACCTTTTCAAAACTCAGGCCAAAACTGCCCTGGGAAGCAAAAAAAAAAACAATATCAGGCGTCATAGTTAACATCAAATTGACTTCATTTCTTCAACATTCAAATATACATTGACCACAATGACTAGTTCCAACTTGGTCTGTTAGCTCGATAGACCTCATTCACGATACCTGCGATCTTTGCAAACGTTTTTGTATTGATGGGATAAAAGCATTGTCACAAGGAATTTCAGGGGGCAAACAAATGTTAAAATTTGCCAATACGAGTAATCAGCTCGAGTTTGTTTATTCTCTAAAAACGAGACGACGATTTTAGTCATGCAAACAAAATGTAAAGTTCTTGACCGCGAGACTTGACCGGCGATTTCTTGTATCAAGAGCTTTTATCACTTAAACCACGTGACATTTCTCCATACGTCAGCACGTTTGCGCGATGTTAGCCTTCCATCGCTTCGTCGTAAGTCGGTGTGTTTTTAAGAGGTTAGTCTTGTACGTTTCCTTGCGCAAGCGTTCATCCTACTTTTCTTATCAGATCAGTTTGTCTGTTAAGATATTGGTCTTGTCTTCTTTTACAATTTACCCGTACGTCAGTTTGGAATTAATGTTAGTCGCCCCTCTCTTATGTTTACTTTTATGTCAGTTAATTCGTTTGATGTTAGATCGAAGTCTTTGTAAGTTTCTTGGCTCATAAGTTCGATTTATATGGTGTTAGTGTACTCATTACTTTAATTTCTCCTTATTGGCGTTCGGAGAGAGTTAGTTTAGTCTTTTGGCGATGTTAGTCTAGTTTCTCTCATTGTCATTTTTGCTTTCTCTACAATTCCATTTGATGATAACTAATTCGTTGGTAAGGCGTTTGTGTTAATTGACAACACAGAGCAATAGCTTATTTCCGAGTTCTAAAACTTCTCAATTTCAAAACGAGGCTATATACAAACCTTTTCTTGTGACAAGATATGCGTGTCGAGGGATCATATTCAGGTGACTCGCCCACTGACGACCGGTTCTAAGAATTTAGTCACCATCGCTCAATGTTTAGTGGCACTGGCGACCAGCGCAGGGTGTCCAGTGCCATGGATGCTCAAAAAATAGGAAAATAGGAAACTCAGGATTGAGAAAATAGGAAAAACAGGAAACTTTGTATTAAAAAATAGGAGAAAAATAGGAAAATCAATAGTACTTTCGTCGACAAAGATAGTCTTCCTGCACCCCATCAGGGTTGTAATAAAGGCTACGAGTCCTCAGCTTCTACGTTCGCAGGATTTAGATCAACTTTCGCGGCTTAGAAGGAGTGATCAGTATTTAAACGTTTAGTTAATTGGCTCAGTTACCCTGTAATCAGAATGATATGCTTGATTAAAGGTCGAGCGTGGTTCTATAATCAAAGGTGATCATATGTAAATTCCCTTCAAGTTTATTGGTGGCAAATTTTTGAAAAACTTCGAAGAATGAAATTTCGTAGGATAGAAATTTCTTATGATTGCGTTGTCGTTAAAGGATATCGAACTAGGCCTTAAAAGTCCTATGGAAAACTTTCCGTCCAAGACGTAATGTCTTATTTTGCAAGTAGTTCAAGTTAACATACTACTTGCTTTATGATAAATCTCAGTCTAAAACACATACAACTATAATTTCATTTTCAATTTTGTCACAACTTTTGGCTTCACAAGCTAAAAGATAGGAAAAATAGGAGGTTTTAGTTAAAAAATAGAAGAAAATAGGAATAGGCTCAAAAAAATAGGGAAAAATAGGAACTGGACACCCTTCCAGCGAGTCGCAATTTCGAACCCTTTATAAGCAAAACTAAAGTTGCCTCTAAATCTGCGATGAACTTCTTCACACTTAATACGTGTATAACTCACTCACTTCAGTTTCTAGTTAATGCCCTATTAAGCGCTCTCTACAGACCCTAAAATAAAAAATAGTAATAATAATTTACGTACCGTTTAGTTTGGGAAATAAGGTATGCTGCTATACTGTCATGCCCATTAGCAGAAGCAATGTCCTCGGGGAAAAGGGACTCAGATTTGCACGTTTCATAAATTATACGCCCATTTGAAGTGCCAAAGATTATTCTTATGAATTGCTCTGCACCGACCCGCGCTGCTGTGAAAACCAAGCGTCTTAGAATGTCAACTGAATTTTTTCCTTCCTGCTTGAAAAGTTCTAAAGAGAAGCGGAGTAAATAACTTTAACTTTCAAACTCTTCCAGGTTCTCTTCACTGATTTAACGATAATTAAAAGAAACAAGTCTATGTGCGTTTAGGGAGCTCGGAAAGGGTTTGTACTTTTTATATATGGGATTTATTGTAAGATAAAGGTTATTTGCTGCTGGCATTCAGATTGACACATATACGTTTTTAAAGAACCACCTGAGAATATATAAACCAAAAATTATACCCACCCAAAGAAGGAGATATCGCACTGCTCTCTTCTCTTTCTGGATTTGCCGGTTGCTCGTTACATTCCCACCGACACCATTCTTTGGTAAGGACAAGGAGAGCTTCATCAACCTCATTCCGAAAGTAGGTGAAACTTGTTTTTCCCACCTCAGACCCATCTGGTGTCGTAATTGTAACGTCTACTTCGACAGTTCCTGAAGTGTTAAAGGCTATAGAGTAGAACAAAAGTACACCTTAACCGAAACCGAAGCCAGACAGACAGACAGGGTAGGTTGCTTGGGGGAGGTTAAATTAAGTTGCCTAGCCTGAGATGACGCACATAATACCCACCGTATTAGTGGTACTTACAATCAAGGCGAGTATGGGAAAGTGATCCAGTATAAATCGGAAAGCACGAAAAAGGTTTTAAATACCAAATCCACTTTATGGTATCAGTTCCACCAATAATTAAAACTCATCTGAAACTCACCAGGAAGATTTCGAACGCGGAAGGAATACCTAGAGCATCTGCCTAAACTTTTAACAACAAAACGAGTTGTTTTAAGGGCCGGTTAATTTCCTCCATTAGAGACCCTTAGCATCACGTTTTTCATCGGAAACTGCAAACGGCAAACCGCAAAATGTCACGTGGTCGTGGTCACGTTTGCTATTTGCCACAAAAAATTGTACAGCCTCGCGTTTAAAGGTATGAACAAGCTTTTTATATCCGTTTGCGATGTGTTTGTTGGATTTTTGATCTCGAATCAATGAATTATTGCAGATTTTTGGGCGATTAAAGTGATAAACTTCGACTTGATGAAAACAACATGGCGGCCCTAAACAATGAACGCGTAGTTCAAATCAATTGTGTACTCCTTTCGGCCATACTAAGAAAGGAAAGTATTCTGTTCCAATCCAGCGTTAAAATTTTTTTTCTATCTTGTTACTGAATTCATAACTTAACTCAGTCTCTCTTTAGTTCCTATTTTTAACGTATCACTCCGCGAATTTCATTTTATTTTGCTTATTTCTTTGAGACTGGTGAGCCCAGGCTTCATAAAGCCTTCTGGTTTCCTCTGGGCTCCCTTGCAACATTACAATTCCTATATGTATTCTTGTATTGTATCATATTTTGGCTAAATAAAACTGAACTGAACTGAACTGAACTGAACGCCTTGCTAAAGTTTGAAATCTCGGAAACGCGAAACTGCAAACGCGTAACTAAGGTTTGCGGTTTACCTGATGCTAAAGGTCTCTAATAATTATAACTGTACCAAGAAGCACATATCTAATTATTTCAACTGATATCAGACACTTACGTGGAGTAGATCCATACCAAATCCCGTTTGAGGTCGGTAAAAGGCCAGCTTTCACGACATTTCCAGTTCCGAATTCTAGCAACAATAATTCCGACTCTGGAATCGGTCTGTCCCTGAATACTAGGTTGAAGGGGGTACCCCCCTTTGAAAGAAATAGGAAGAAAATTTAATAACCCTATTCTTAGGGTGACATGACATTAGTTGACCTCAGGATTAAAACTCAACTTGACTACCTACGGTTCGCCAAGACTTCTTGCAAATGAAGTATCACAAGCTATTTCCGAGTTTGAAATACCTGATTTATCAGGAATGTGTTTAAAAAAAAAGAAGAGAGATGTTTTTGGCACCAGGCTAACAGGGGGACACAAGATAAAGGAAGACGCGACGTATCATTTTTTTTTTTTTTCATTAAAAAATACGCTTGAATTTCTTGGGATCAGATTTCTTTCAGGAAGAAAAGAAGACCTATACATTACTTAGACTGCTATTCATTTAATTGTTTTCAAATTACTGAACTCTAGTCTTAAAACAAAGACTGAGTTATATAATTCTTTCTTTTGAGCCGTCGTTGTTTGGTAACAAGTTTTTTCGTGAGACGCACGCCAGCATTGCAAAATTCGCGGGAAATGAGGGGACACCAGGCAATTTCGTTTGTAGCAACAAAAAGCGCAACGCATTCTCGTTGAAACGTTCGCTTATGCGATTGAAATCCCGAACCCCCTCCCCCAACACACACCCGGACAAAGGTGAGGATTTTACTTGACATCATTGCAAATCTTAACAAACCCCACCCTGGTGGGGAAACCTTTGTTGCTCCCTGACTGACTTTATTAACATTTCGTTCGAGTTTTCTACTTCTTTAGTGTACAAATTTCAGTAGCTAAAGCAAAAGCCAAATATGATAACAGACCAACATATAGATATAATATGTCAATGGGGGAAAATGCAAGGGGTGACAGGCCACACATCTATACCGGCGTGAAATCCTGTGTTAACATTTGATGATATCATTATTCCTTTCTTTTAGAAAGTGATAGGTGGTTCTTTAAAACTTTGGCGAAGTAGTGGTTGGTCTTGTATAAGATTCCTTTTATTCATTAAAACTTCTTTTATAGAAGACACTGAGGGTTGGTATTGTGTCACAAAAAGCAATATTTCTTTTTCCTCATTGTTGTTTTTTTCAGGAGTGCAGAGACCCGTTGTGTGAATTTTATTTCTGATAGTACGTTCTCTATCAAAGTATGTAGGTAACCTCCAGGGTTCTCAATAGATTTTTAAGTAGGAGGTGATCACTGATAAAGTAGGAGGCTCTTCAGCAAAGCCAGAGGTGTCAAAACAAAGCAAAGAAAAGCGACTTAAACACAAAGTAAGAGGCTATAAATCCCAAAGTAAGTGGCGATTAATCGCCGGGTGCCGCCTTCTATTGAGAACCCTGAACCTCTGGTCAAATATTTTCCTGGTGAAATATTTTCCTTAAACGTTGTTTCTGATGAGTTTGTTCGTAGCATTCTCAAGGCTTCTCCTTTGAAAAATCCTTTTTTAACACTTGGCGGGTGAGGAGAGGTGAAATGTGTGTACTGAAAAGTTTCCGTTTTTTTTAAAATGTCTTTACGTCAAGGATAGATTTTTCCTTGAATCTTGTACCTTGCCGGTATACAACCGTGTCTAAAAACACAGTCTCAGTGACTTTGGCAAAGGAAACTGCTGTCTTTGTGCCCATGGCAGTACCATGGGTTTGTAGGTAGTGCTTTCCATTAAATTGGAAAGAATTTTCTTTAAGGTTTATTCTCAGCATTTCCAGGAGGATGTCTCCCGAAGAAATAACCCTGAGGAAACTAGGCACCAGTCAAATCCCCACCTCAATCCCCCACTTCAATGCATGCATGGGCAAAGCAAATCCTGAGAAATCACCCACCCCACACGGGCAAACCGTGCTCTCAAATACCACACAAATTCCCCATATTCCCCCACCTTGGCCTGGGGTGGGGATGGGGGGTCAGGATTTCAATTGATAAGTGTATTAGTCACTATATCGATAAGACATGTGCCCTTGGCGCTTTTTTTCTGAGAGCCAGCTTATTAAGGACACCCGGATGAAACTAACACTATAGCATGTCCCTACGATGTCCATATTAACCGGGTTTAACAGTACAACTATTGAAAATCGATGTCTGCTAAAAGATCAGGGGACGCTATCCATTGTTTTTCAACCAAGATCCAATAATAACTAACACTTAACACATATCGTTGAGTAATGTACACAATCGATGAGAGCGGTTATTAACATACCTCAGCAGGACCTCTTTCTGGCTTGATGGTAATAGAAGGCTCTTCTTCAGGTTCTTGTTCTTGGTTCCCTTGGTTTAAAGTTTATAGAGTAGGATCAAAAGCAATGCCGGGAATTACAATTATTGGCGATGCTATTGTTGTAAGTTGGTCAGATTTAAAGGTCAATACGTCAAGTATGAAGATCTAACTGTGAACACTGATTTATTCCCTAACTGGAGACAGGATCAAGCAGGGAATCTGAATCCATTAAGAGTGGACGTAGCTTGTAATGATCAGCAGTAAAAACAAGAACGGTTCAAAAGGTCAAACCATATCTATTGGTGTGACGCATTTTAAAAACTTGTATCTGTCCAAGTGAAAGAAAAATAATTAGATGTTATTGGCCGTATTAGCTAGAGCTACAAGGATTTCCGAATTTCGAGAAGATCTAAAAATAAAGTTAGAGGGACACCTAAGGAACAGAGCCCATATATAGGATTCATTCTCTTACCCCTTTACCTTGACCACGAACAAAAGAGAAAAAATTATCGAAACAATTGAATAGATTTTATATATTTGAAGGTGGGCCCTTTACAATGATAATAATTGAAAAGACTTTTTTCCAGATTAAAAAACAAAAAAAGTAAGGCTCTTTTAGATCCTTCACGGAAAGCAATCTAAAGTAAGAGGTAGTTTTAAACTTATGACACAGTTGAGTCTGTCCAAGGGGCTTCTGAAAGCTACATAGGCAAAAGATAATTGCACTTATATCAAGTGTATGAGCCAAGCTGAAGTTCCTTGACCTTACCTTCTGTGAAACAGCCACTTTCTTCACCACTGTCTCCCGCGCTGGTCATAAGTTGCTGAAAAATAATTGAAATATTGAGATATCAAGGTTTGTTTACTCTCTTGCACTTCCATCAACGAACAAAAGCTAACGCATTTATTACAAATATCAGATTCAAACAGTAATATGCCTTAGTAAGGCAAAAGGAAAAGTCATTTGAAGAAAATGAATCTCAGTCTCCTAAGAAATTAAGGACAAGGTCGAATGTTTAAAGCGGTCCTTGACTTAGAATATTTCTCTTCCTTCTCTCCTTCCATTCTCCCTCTCTCCCCCCAATTCGTTTTAACCTGCAACAACCTGATTTGTTGCTAGAAAGTTTTGATTCTTGGGTGGTCAAACGCAAAACATCGATTTTCGACTAGTTTTGCAGCAACACGGCGAAGCAAGTTGTACGAGATTGCTGCCCGTTTTACGGTAACTTAATATGTACCTGCCCAATATCTCCATAAAAGGTGGGAATAGGAACTGTCTTACAGGCCGCCAATTTTTCTAGAGTGGGCTGTTCATTCTCCTTTCCTTTCTGTTGACAAAAACACACCAGACTATATTAGCATGAACTTTTAAATAACAGATGGTTGATCGACAAAATGTATACAAGTATACCAAGCACAAAACAGACTTTGAACGTGGCCTGCCAAGTTTAGTTTTCAAGAGTTTGTTCGGTGATGGTGACCGAGGTTTCGACAAATAGTGATTCAGCGTTTACGTGTCGTACGTAAATGGTTTAAAAATCTAATTTCTGGTATTTCCTGAGGCTTGTACAACAAATACAGCAGATACCACTCGAAAAAAAGATGTTAATCCGAGAAAATGAACAGTTATGTTGATCCGAAATTGCATTCCTTTGCAAAATATATTAGGGCTGATCTACTGTTGCAAGTCTTGCCCGGTAAAATTGTTTACTTTGGGGATTCCTCCATGTTGATGAGAAATCAGCCTAAAACGGTACCATAGGTAAGCTGGGTCTTTTCCTAAAAAATATTCAAAGCTTTTATACGGTATCAGTAATTAATGGGTAACTAATGAAGATCCGCACCTGTGCTAAAGCAACTAATCCCAGTGCAATTCTTAGTTCTAGTGGATTCCACTTTCCCGGAACTGATTTGTTGGCTATGCTCTTTATATGGCGAAATTGGTCCTCTGAGAGATTTGATGCCGCAAGTATGGCATCAATTTCATGAGATTCTTTCATTGATAACTGCCTTGTCATAACCTCGTAAATGTCTGGTACATCTCTGCCACTTATGCACCAGCCAGGAGGAAGCCCACCATAGAGTCGCTCTAGGTCTTCACGGTACTCCGTAAAAACTGTCGAAAGTTGAGGAATGTCAATTTTTGTAACAAAATCGCAAAATGTTTTCCAGAAGACAAGTAACAAACGAGGGTTACTGAAGAAGTAGTTTAAAAAAGCTCAATAGCTTTTGCTCTAGGATTTACCACCATAATGATATTTAATCATCATCATCAACTAACAACAACAGCATTACTTCTGAACGCCGGGAACAGGCTGATTTTACACTTAAGGTGACTCGACTCAGTTTTTTGGGGGGTACCACGTGACATTTACTCCAATCGCCAAAAATTTTATGTTATATTGTAGATTGATCTATATGTTATCCATTATATGTGTTAGACTTACGATAAAAGTAAAGGTGGGATACCAGAGAGCTTTAAAGTAGGATGGTACCCCCCCCCCCCAAAAAAAAAACTGGGTCGAGTCACCTTAAGTTACATTTTCTGTCCAAGTAAAGCAGATATTTTTAACTTTATGTCAATAAAAAAGGGAGATAGCTAAGACAGTGAGAAATAATGTACAATCATATAAGTGCATACAGAAATGTCATGAGAGGCGAACCTGTATTAAGAGGACCTGTACGAAGCGGTAATCGTTTATCAAGGGGTCACTTACCAAAGTTCCAGGAATAGTTTCCCTTAATTACTTTAAAGCTAACCTGTATTAAGAGGTCACCTCTATTAACTAAGTAAAGCCGCCGCGGCCACCTTTTCCGAGGTCCCAAAAAGTATTCTTTTTTCCCCTCCACCTCTATTAAACGGTCGCTTTGAGAGGATGTACCATACTGGTGTAACATCCACTGCGCATCAAGTGACCTTTTACTTCCTTTTTAGGCACAAGAAGAGGAAGAAACAGTTTAAGGTCAATTTGTCGTGGGATAGTCTTTAGACATTTCGTTCCTTCACTGTCTCTATTTTCTTCAATAATTCTTAAGGGCTTGCCAAACCTGTATATTTAACGGTCTACCTGTTTAAAACGGTGAGTGAGCCATTGCCTTGGGGTGGCCCCTTAATGCAGCTTTGATTGTATAAACTAACCACTAGAAAGCTTTCATCCTTACCAAGATCGTGAAGTGCGTCTGGAAATTTTATTGATTCTGTGAAACAATATTTTCAAGAATATAATAAAACCTCAATTAAGGAATGAACGTTTCAAAATATTGGTAAACGAGAGCATGACTTTAGCTGGATTACATTTAATGACATCATGTCATTTACGTTGTAGCTATTTGCGAAATCAACTAGAAACAAAACCAGTATATAAGATGATCAACCAAACTGCAGCTTCATGGACCCATCCCTGACATTTCTACAATCTTACGTGAACGAAGAATGCGCTTTGCAGGTCACTGCTGCCGAGCAAAACAAGAACTCGCGAGCGATCTTCTACTCTGGTCACCTAACCATGGTAAAAGGGGGTTGGTCGCCCTGCAACCATCTACATCGACCAACTCTGTAGAGACACGGGGTGCCTTCCAAACGACCTCCCTGCCTGTCTAGACCACTGTCAACCAGCAAGGTCTTATTTCTCCGGCACCGTATTAATTCTCTTGCCGGAGATCAACGACTTTTTGCAAAATCGACAATGAGGCTCGCGCTCCATTTCAGTCTGTTTTCAGACGGAGCAAAACACCGCTCATTTCCCATTAATTTTCCCAGGAGTTGCTCACGTGCGAAATTGATTGACAGATAACGATCTTAATGACAGATGATCGGCAGGATAATTACAAGAGGGCGGAATAACGGCCTCAAATGTTTGTCTACAGGCTCTCCTCCCCCTTTCCCTTCCCTTTCTTCACTCTTTTTTCCCTAAACAGAGAGTCTGTTCACAGGTTATGGGAGAAAAGCGATGTCACGTTACTTCTGGGGGTAAACAAGTGATAAAATCTGTCAATACAGGAAATCGCAGTCCAGTTTGTTTATTCTAGACGATATAGAAAATTATGGCTGTAGTGATTATTGCTATTTTTTCGAGAATAAACAAATTCGACAGCGATGACTCGTGTTGGCAAATTTTATCACTTGTTTGCCTCTTAAAATAACCCGTGACATTTCCTTATTTCCCATTAATTTTAAAGCGTGTGCAAAGAAGGGGGGCATCATGAACCGGCCCATGCACTCGTCTAAACGATCTGAATATTTTATACAGAAAGTTTAGAGCGTCTGTGACGCAGGCAACTTGCACCTACGTCTCTGGAAATTGAATTCCACCTCTAATTCCCCTGTGGCTCCCCGTCAACTGAGCTGTCAGAATTACGCCAATCAGCGAGAAGCAGAAACGAGCGCAAATGTAAACAAACATTGAAAACACGTGCCAGGGGTAATTGCGTCATTACTAAAATATTTATATCATCCCCGCCAATCAGCATTTCGCCTCAACTTTTTTTTGATGTAGATATTCAAATTCAAGAGACGTAGTCGCCAGCTCTCCTTCCTTTTCCCGCCCCACCGCCAGAGTGCTCCAGAGAGCTTGCTCGCAGGCTAAATGTATCCTAAAACTGCATAATGGTAAACCTCAAAAAAACTTCCATTCACAACGACGATTTTTAGCACAAAACACTTGAGAGCGTCGCAACCTTATTACAGATGGTTGCAACATTGTTCCAACATTGCAACACTGCGCTGCACTAAAAATCATCCTTGCAAATTGTCCCGTGTAACATCACCTTTAAAGTCGGTAGATGAATCATCATTTAAGTCTTCTTTTTCTGACCGCTCCCCAGGAGAACAGTCAGTGTTCTGGGTGTTTTGCATTTGTGATGCTGTACTTGGCGATTGGGAATCCATACTACTTGATATCATAAATCCTGAGCCACACTGTGCCAGGCTGAGATTAGAAGGTCTAGCAATGTCACTTCCTTCAGGCCTTGATACTGCTAACCAAACGAAATAAAAATTACTGAAGACGAGAGACTAGTGACTAGGAAGTATGTACCAAACTTTGCCTTCTTACCGGTTTTCGTTGACGTATATACTGCACCTCTCTCAGTTCCCTTTTTTCCCTATATATATATATATATAAAAGCGAAGAAAAACACTTTTATTAACTGGTCATGGATTCATGATTAATTTCGACATTAGTTCAGCAAATAGCAAACTAAGATCATTCAGTAGTAAACTAATGTCGCACTAAATTCAATAACCTTGGAAGTGTTTTTGGTTTTCGGCAGCCGTTTAGGATGAACTTTCTTCCTGGTTTCTTTCTGAGAGTCTTGTCTTTGACGTTTGTGGGGGACATCTAAAGCTGTAACATAAAATCAATATATGTATATTCAGGAGCTCCAGTTTAAAACTAATTATTACTTGGAATATTTAAATTCACTTTGAACCACTGCTGAGAAATTCATGAATCTACTTTATACTTTACATCATCAACAGATAGTAGAGTGATTCGGTTTTATTTCAATTTGCTAGAAAATATCAATTTATACAATTTGAATACACATTATATTCATGTAAATAATACTTTCTGGCGAGGAAACTCAACTCGAAAGCCTGGAGGCTTATCAAATGCTTCAAGCTCCCTCCTTAACACAGACATAAACTTCATAACCTGCGATCAGGTATGGGTCCTTCTTCCGTTTTTCTTTGGGAGGCGCGCTAGCTCATATGGGTACCTCGGTTAAACATGTTAAAATAACTCTATTAATTAATACTAGTTCTAATTGAAAGGAAAAAGTTATGAGAATAAAATAAAAGTTGTCTGTGCCACGAAGCATGCCTTCACTGTTTAGACTGAGAGTCCTAAAGCTTTTTTAGCATGTATTCGAATATCTTAAAACGATAAGCCACCACCCACCCCACCCCACCCCGCGCAGTACTGTTTTCACTCAGCGGCTGGTCAGCGGTCACGTTTATGAGGTAAACATGGCGATCACTTCCTAATCACCGTTCTTGTCGATCAGAAAATCAAAATACCAGCGTGATATGACCTCGAAGATGAAGCAGTTATGTTATTTGATTCGTATTTCACATTCGAGTCGAAGCTTGGGTGGCACAGGTTATTTCTTACGGTGGGAATCGCTGTGCGACAAACGCAGACTGTAGACTGGCAGATAAACGAAGTAAACATTGTTGTAGAATGCTCTAACAGATTCCCTATCCCTAAACTAAACTTTTAAATGACTTTAACTTTAGGGATAGGGACTCTGTTAAAGCATTCCACAACAAAGTTTTCCTCGTTTACCTGCCAGTCTGCAAGTCTGCAGTCTGCGTTTGTCGCACACCGCGGTGGAATCGACGAGGGGAATTCGAACACTAGTTGTAGTGTTTAACCAGTGGTTTAACACATTGAATTGCTGGAAGAAATGGTCGCATGGGGATGTAGGAATGGTAGGTTTAACGAACAAGTTCAAATTTTGCCCCTTGAATTGAAAGTGAGGTTCATTTGAATGTTTTCTTATGTATTTCCGACGGTTTTAGATCTACCTGCTCGGTTTATATCTGCTACGCTTCACGTTGACAAGTCCCTCAAAATGGCGGTCAAACTTGGAGATTGCCGAAAATTAGGTAAGTTCACGGAGTTATAAAGTTTTAGCAAAGGTCGGGCCGCAAAGTTTTTTTTCTGTATTTACCTTTTCTGTGGCACCTACTTCCTAGCTATATTAGTTGGATCAGTTAAGAACGCCTCACTTTTTCAAAAATTTACCTTGAATTTGATCGGTTTTCGCGTGTGTGACTTAAGCGAACCGATAAGGTGTCGTTCAAGTCTTCCTGTTTGCTTGATTGAAACGTGATGTTCACGAAAGTTGCCTCGATGGATAAGATAGAGTTAACATACATGGTTGTGATATTTTTTTTTTGCTGAGTCCCGTAGTTTTTTTAAATTGTCCGCTAAAGTTGCCTCAAATTAACGTCTTGAAAAGTGTCACGACAAGCCTTCGCTCGAGTGAAATTTAATTTCTGCAAAACTCTGAAAAATAAGGAGATCCGATCAAACGGATTGTGGTTTTAGCATAGGTACATCACAGGCGGCCCAAGCTCATTTCATGAACGCGGACGTGACTCTTGCTTGCGAGCGGTGTTGTGTTACGAACGGTTATTTACAAAGGTTTGTATGGGATGCAAACGGTTTTTCTTAAAAGCGAGAAAAAATGTATTTTTTTAAATAAAATCAACTTACCTTATTCCACTGCTAAAAGTCTTTCTTTTAGCAGTGGAACACCAAAATAGCTCTAACTCGCCGAAAACACTTCAAAACGGCCTGAGACGCGAGCAAACAACAAAGAATACAACAGAGCAATAAGGTAAGTTGATTTTATTTTAAAAAAAATACATTTTTTCTCTCTTTTAAGAAAAACCGTTTGTATCCCATACAAACCTTTGTAAATAACCGTTTGTAACACAACACCGCTCGCAAGCAAGAGTCACGTCCGCGTTCATGAAATGAGCTTGGGCCGCCTGTGGGTACATGAATGTCTTACAACACACAAGAAATGAGCTAAATCTGTGTCTCAAGCAAAATCGACCGGACCGCTCTTACAGAGACACTCTCTTAACAGTTTAGTAGAGACCTTTAGCTGCTTAAAACTGCTTTGAACATCAAGCTCCAGAAGTCTTATTAACATGCTTTTTTCTCTCATCAAAGTGTTTGCCCAAGCTCTTGGGATTGGACTGCTGACCTCGAAGAAATTGTAAAATTTCTTTACACGTTCATCACGAAATATTCTTATTTTAATGTTCTGTACCAGTTTAAGTCATAGAGTTATTTGACTTTTTAGGTTGCACTTGTTGAACACCAGTAATGACAAAACGTTTATTTTTTCTCAATTTCCAATTCCAGAATTTCTGGAGTCATATTATGACTCCCTCTGTAATCAGCTGTACTGAACAGAAGAAGAGTAATGTGAAATCTACATAAGCCACAGCCACTGATAATAAAACTTTGTCTTCTTACCTTCCATGGATGAATTTCTTTTAGTTCCTTGCGTTGACTATTAATAATAAAAAGCAAAGAAAATTATTTTATTAATTTACCACCATTGCCAATCACAATATTGTATTTCTGCAATTAGGGGAGGTTTAGCTTTTAATGGGATTGTGGGGAGAGTGTGGTGCAAATTGGGGGGAAAGTCATTTGGAACTTGTATGACCCCCCAGCTTGCCAAAATTCTCTGGCATATTACCCGCCCCCGCCCCAACCGTATAAGGGAACACATTTTGGGATGACCCACCACCGCCAACATCAAAAGTGTTACACCTGGCATTTTAAACATTGTTAAACATTTTACATTTGAACATAATAACTCTAACCAAGACACAATGAGTGCTCTAACTTGGCATCAATATAACAACATGTACAATTTCATAGCAAGTTGTGTCAGAATAACAATAACAATTAGGCGTGCCATCAATTTTTTCTCCTCCTCTCCTTATAATTATTGGTTAAAGACATTTAAGTTTTGAAATATGCTTGTTATGGAGTGACTCTTTTACAAATGTACAGGAAGCTGTGTTTTGCAAATCTGATCTCATCTCAAAAAAAGATAAAGTCAATTTCAGCTTTACTACTTATCGCTCATCATGAACATGTTCTAACTGGTCACTCATTGGCATCTTTCTGGCCTGCAGCAATCAGCAAGGCTGTGCTCTAGCAGCACCCAGTAGCCGACTAGAAAATCTTCGTCTTTTATAAAAATCATATGCTGGGAACTCTGGATTTCTTAGGTTCAGAGCACTAGGCTTCCTTCATTTTTCTTAGAGCAAGAAAAGCAAAAAAAGCAAATTGAAAACTGACAACCCTTTATTTATCATCTTTAAACATCACTCTAACACTCATCATTTAACAAAGTACACTATCATGGTTGCTTTCATTTTTATCACTGATTTCACTCTCCATTGTCACAATATATCCTGACCTGATTGGATTGGATTAAAAGGCAACAAGCAGTGAGTGTCTTACGATGACTCCATGAAACAAATATACCTAAGCTAGGTAATTACTAGTGGTTGTCATTTGAAAGTGAAGTGCTGCGGATAAAGCTAATGCAGAAATAAAATTACATTTCACATAGTTTGAATGAGTTTTAAATAAGCTAGTTGCAGTTTATTTCGAATATGATTCTGATTTTTATAATATTTGACAAAATAGAGTCAAATTGTCTGAAATGGAACTGTGCATGTATTGCAACATGATAGCAGGCCTTCTGATAGGATGTGATAAAAATCAGAAATTACGCAGCATTTTCAGGGCAGATTTTGCAATAAAATAAGACTATTATGCAATAAATTGTGTGATTTTTTCAGGGCTAATTAACATTGTTTTACCAGGTTTCAAAGGGGACAAAAATCACTTCAATGTTGTTTAACAGGCAATTTGAATGTAAAAAATAATAAAACATCTATTTTAAAACAAAATAGTTAAATTTGTCCCATTATCTTGACCTGGAAAAGAAAACAAATAGGAACAAAAACACTCGTTTAATATTACATGATGCCGTTACACCGCTGACCACTTGGCTCGCCTCTGAAATCAAAATCGCTGTCCAGATACTGCAATTGAGGGTTTCAGATGTCTTGCAAGGCTTTCTTTAATGGTAAATCAACTTAAATAACATCACGATCGCAAAAGTGTTTAATTAAAGTTTGATTTTTTTGTTTACTGTACTTGAATTTAGCATTTTTTTATGAATTATGCGATTTTCCTCAAATTGTGCGATCGAATGCAATTTGAGGCCAGATGTGCGAAATTGCACCATTGCATAATATCAGATCGAAGCCCTGTGACAGGTGGGCGATCGATGAAATCTGATCTTGAACAAGATACTCATTGATTACAAATCACCTTCAATCTTTCCTTCTGTCATGTATAAGATGTTTTACTACCATAATGGAGAACAAACATTGTCACACTTTCCTGAAAAGCTCTTAACAAGTCTACAGTAATCAGATCAGTATTGTTATATAATGCTAATGAACGCTTCGTTATTTTTCATGACTTTTACATGATGTCAACTTTAGAGTTTTTGAACCTTGTGCTTTACACAGCAGCCATGTTTGTTTCTTAAGCTGTAAGTCAAGCTAGTCTTCTAAACAAAGTAATTACGGAAATATAACAAGTATCAGGAATTGCTTCAAATATTATGAGAAACATATTGGTAGTCTTTACACTATAACCTAAATAAGCTAAGAAATATTTCAAGACAAGTAAATTTTAATTACTTCAGGTAAAATAAAGTTTCAGACACAACCGATTTGTTTTTACTTCAGGTTATTTTCCCACGCAACAAAATTAAGACTGATTGACATGTCTCACCTTTCTCAAAGCACAAGAAACCGCAAAACCGCAAGTCAGCTAAGTTGGTCATAAGGATGGTTTTCAAGTCGCTTGAAACTTCCTTGAATCATTTCAACTTTCCGACTTTAATGAGATGCAAAGCAAAGTTACTTGAGATTTTACTTAGGCCTTCACACACGAACTTTTGGTTAAGGGAAACTTAGCGGCTCTTAAGTCTTACTTAACAGCCTAGTGTAAAGACAACCATTGCTTTAATTCATAGCTGCCATTCACCCTTGAAAAGGACGGCTTTCTACACGAAACTGGATTTCTTCTCTTAAAGTTTTCCATATTCTCATTTAGGTTGTGTTTGATTGGGAAATCCGAATTTAAATTTTTTTAAATCTGGATTTTGGATTTTGCAATCGAACACGAAATCTGAAAATGGATTTCACCTCTGAGAAATCCATCCTCAGGGTGGATTTCAATTAAGAAATCCAAATACTGTTTTCATGGATTTCCTTATACTAATCAACTGGGAAATCCGAAAAAGGATTTGCAAAATATTCTCGTGAACAGCAGTCTTCATTTTGCTAATAATGTGTGCAAGTGAAAGACCGCTGTTCTTAAGAACAGTTTTTCAAATCCTTTTTGGATCTCCCAATCGAACGGTAAAAATTCAGGAAATCCAAAAACAGCTATCTCAGTGCTGAAATCCATTCTTGCATTTCGCATTTGATTGCAATCGAACATACCCTTAATTGATGGTTGAGTATTCTTTATGATACACTGTTTTCATTCGGAATCAATAAAATACACAGCACGTGGGCCTTGATGCTTAGAAAATACTAGTTAGCATTAGAAAAAGATTTACATAATTAAGCAGGAAGGGTTTTGTCAAAACAAGGTCAACTCCAGCCTCGTTTCCACCTGTAACTCATAATGGGTTATTTCATGCAGTATTGATATAACGAATATAAATAAACTTTTTGTTTGTAACATTATATACACTGGTCTACCTTTTTGATGAACTGTAACAAGTCATAATGATCCCTCCTGAAGTAGTTGGATCTATGGCGAAAATACCCGTAAGATATTGGTTTTCCTTGTTCTGTTTTTACTTGCTTTGTTCCGTATGAAGAGAAGCCATCTAAAATACAAGTATCAAATTATTGAGACTTGTCATCATTCATGCCAACAGTCTTTTATTATTATAATAGCTACTCCAGTGAAGGCAGAGCGAAATAAAAACTGGGGGGCTGAAAATAAAATTAAACATTCCATCCCCCCCCCCCACCCCCTTCCAACCAATAAGCAATAAAACAACATTTTAGCCTGCTCCAGGTGTTTGGAAAGTGGAGTATGGTGTGTTCCCAACAATCTGAATGCCTCGAACAGGCTAACAACATTTTGGACCCCTCCGATGCAATCTTCAATACTGGTGCTGACAACAAAACCTACTTAGGACAGCCTTCTATAGGGGGTTGGGGGGAAGGGAGTGCAGATAAAAAAAGAAATGTCCTAATCCAACCAGCTAAGTAAGTTGTTCCTTGTTTTAAAAAGACAACTGAAAGTTTACATGAACTTTCCAAAATAGCTCTAATGAGTAATTGACCGTGGTAAAATTAAAAGAAAGTTATTTATTATTCTACAAAAATGGGGGAGGGCAAAGCCCCCCCTGCTCCTTTTCTAACACCTATGTACTTGGCACAACAACCACAAACAGCTAAATAATAAAACTGTTACTGAACACTCTTTATCAAGCATGATAATTCAACCCCAGCTACCATTTCAAATTATGCTACTTACAGTAACTCAGTTGTCGATTGAAGTTTGTAAAGTTATTTGCCATCTTGTATCTTGTAAAGATTTTTAACTTTAAAAAACTTCCTTCATCTTTACATATCAGGAAGCCATTATCATCCTGCAGGAAATAAAAGTGACAATTTCAACAACAGATTGCAGTTGCTAAGAATGTTGTTGCTTAAAACAAGAAGTCAATTATCTTTCATCATCATAAATATTATTTTGGACTCATCATCTGTCTTCTCGTTCCCCGGAGTAGTCAATCAATAGAAATCGGTATTGCTTTATCAATCGATAAATCGATAAAAATTGGTAAATCTGATTTGATTGATATCGACTGAATCGATCAATCAGTAAAAATCAATGACACACTCATTTTGTTTCTTGATTTGTCTAGATTTTACCGATTCCATCGAAAGATACATCCATCCGTTCCTCGGTTCATCCAAAAATGAAAACTGATTCCATGCAAACAGTAAATTTGTTGACAACAAAGTAGCAATTGAGAGTCAAAGGATCAAACAACCTATCATCACTTTTAAAAAAAAAAGTGTGACAAAATCTTATCTTTTCTTTAAAACCCGCCATAAAGTCTTCTTCTGATGGCCGATATTGGCCAGGTTTGTAGCGCCCAGTTTTTTCACAACTTAGATCTGCCACCCTGTCAAAATAACATCAGTTCCGCGTGTAGTTACTTCCTGGAGTAGCCAATAGATAAAAAAAGAAATCGATAAAAATGGTTAGCAATCAACTGATTTTATTGATTGATAACAGGAAACGGTGAAAAGCTATCTAGGGAAATCTTTTAGCCTGAATTTCAGACATCCCTTTGACTGTAGACACTCTAGAGCATGTCTGAAATTCTGGCTGGGAAATTTTTTATCTAAGGTTGTATTTCTCGTGGTACTTGCCTGCCAGAACTGCGAATGTCATTAAACGGAACCATTTTTGTTATTATATGCAAAAGGGTCACGGTTTTAAAGAGAATCTTGCGTCTGTAATAGTTTCCACATTTCTTATTTTCATGTTTGTTGATCAGTTGTTACTCGTGGATGTGTTTTCTCAGCTGTACTATGTAGCTTATGCCAAAAAACAACAATGTAGGACTTACCATTATAAATCATTAAAATCATGAAAAATCAATAATATCGATTTGACACAGCCATTTAGTCTATCGATTTCCACCAATTTCCGTTATCAATCGATAAAAATCACTTGATTGCTATTGATTTTTATCAATTGACCACTCCGGGTCGTTTGCTTAAAGCCAACAGTTAATTTTGAAAATCAGCGCTACCTGGCATTGCAGAATCCATAAATCTAGGTTTCTCCTCAACATTGATTATCCCAAATATCACAAAAACAGGGTTTATTCTAGCAATTGGCCAATGAGGGTCAAATGGGCCCCCTTCTGTAATTTGAGGGGACCCTTTTTCAAGAAAGGGGGGTCCCCAAAAGGTATTTGAACTTATTGGTACAGACTGTTCCATGAGAAAACGAACATTTATTGAAATTATCATTTACAGACTTGCAAGTACTGAGCATGAGGTTAAAATGACTCTAATGCTTTAACATAAAAGAAAAGCTTCTTTGCTAGATATATATTCTGTTATTTCATTCGACATTAGGATGAATAATTTTGTTTCTTTTAGGCAACAAGTTTTAGGAAAAAAAGTCTCTGTGACTCGTGATTCAGATCGTCGCTTTTCCACTCTCCTGTTCTTTTTTGTGTGACATACCTGACAGGCCTCATGAAAATCAAATTCGGACAAAGGGATGTCCTTTAATTGAAATTGTAATCGAGTTGTCCAAGGATTCCTCACATAACCTGTTCCTTAAGGCTGTTCTTGTTAAATTCTGGTCACTGAAACCATGTCAGATCAGTGTTGTTGTCAGTAATGTTTTCAAATACTTCATTTAAAAAAAATTAGAACTTATCCTTGGGTCTATTTTTTTTGCGCCCCTTTTGATGCGGAAACGTAAATTTTATGTGGCATTTTTTTCCAAAAACTGCAGAAATCCCGCAAGGCCATGCTCTAGAATAAACCCTGCATAAACCTCATCCAATGATAAATATTGCTAATAAACAGAAGGAAATGGCTTTATATATGAAATAAATATTTATAGTCAAGACCTTACAATTTGCCATGCAGCCATTTTAAATGTATTAAACAGTGAATGTAAACCATGAGCACTTACATATTAAATATAAAATTCCAACAAATCTATCTACAATAAAATCCTCTATTAAGCCCCTCCTCCCCTCTTCTCCATCTGCAAAACAGCACCAAACCCTTGTTCTGGGTCCCCACCTCTACTTACCGGGATTTCAATACATACCAAAATTGATTTGGAGTAGAATATAGCCAGAGAGTGGACACTACTATTCATCACACATTTTTACATACATACAAGCTAAAAAGGTTTCTTTCATGATGGCGCATTCTACCGTGCTACCATAAAAACTTTACAGCCACTTTTTACTTCAATAAGGACAGTTACTTTTTGCTCATTTAACAGAAAAACATTTGTTTACGAAATCTTGAGAAGGTCACTGTAGCTGGAGAAATGAAATGGTGAAATGGAATGGTGAATCATACAGATTCCTATAACATACAGTGGTAAAATGAAAATGGACTTTAATAATTAAAGTCCATAATAGCAACTGGTGGTTTGAAGACATGGGTAACAAAGTATTCTTGGTTTGCATGTGACGTTACAAAAAATCAAACTAAGAAACTATCGATTCTTCTGAGTTTCTACTTTCACGAGGTATTACAGCACTTAAACACCTTTATATAAACACATTTTTGGTTCCAAAGGGATCCTCGTTTTGCAGTAAGGACACTGAAAGTTCCAGGCTTTTGCGTGACACGGCATTCAGCTGACGGCCGGGAGAGCTCTCATGTGGGTTTAAAATATTACCAATTTTGGGAGATTTTGCTATCTAAACATTCCTTGTCTCTCTTTAATCTTTATGAGTTCCTCAAGCAAAGAATTCACGCGCTAGTAGCAAAACTCAAAAACAGATGTTTCGGTTGGTATCCGGCAGCCATATTGGTGTCCCTGAAAGGGACTCCAAAATGGCGTTTCCATAAAAAGCTTTATAAATTTAGGTAAATCGTTTTTCCGAATATCTTGCATTTGAAATATTGCACAGACCTGATTTTTGGCAAGACTTTTTGTACATTTATACTTATTTATCGATCTTCTTTCATTTCCCAGATTCTAGACGCTCTGTATTGAGTGGTTTGCATTTTTATTTTTCATTGCCTGACAGTGCAAACCGAGAATTATGTCCCATACTCAATATTCAAATTTCAAAGACTTCAAGCAGAGGAAAAAATAGTATACAAGCAAAAACCAAATTGAGAATGAATATTAAACGGTTTGTTAACACCAAGTCACGTGACAGTACACGCGAAATCTGAAGCTCCCCTGTTAGTAAAAAAAATTCCAGAATTTGGCCAAACTTCAGAATACCTAATGATCACTTCGTAAACTTAACAGCTCTGCAAGCTACTCCCACGGTCGTCAAAATGTACACAACAAACGGGAACTTGAAAGGGCGAATCACGATATAAATTCCCTAAAATATATTAAAATTGTCAACTACTACTGATCTGTGGACTAGCACACCGTCCTGTTGATTAAGGCCACCGCGCTTTGGAAATATTCATAAAGGCTAGCTTAAGAGAAAACAAAATTACCTCGTTCCATCTAATCCAATCGTCTGATTCGTTTTCAATCATTCTATACAATTTGTAGGGAAAACCGCGACCCTCTACTGCAGCCATCGCGCCTCTGAAGTTGGGTAATGGAGAGGGGGAAATTTTACCGCGTTCAATTTTTATTTATAGAACGGCGCTGACCCAAAAGGATCGCAGAACACGAAATTCTGGAATTTTGGTAACCAATCAAAAGAGTTCAACGTAATCAGAGCGATGGAGTGTTTTGAAGTGTGCGGTTTACGAACGTCATGATCAAGTTATTTTTGTAATGATCCGGGTAAGATGGAAAGCAATAGGGGGTAAACACGAAAACAGTTCACTTTTGAAAAATTTTGTTAGCACAAGCTAAAAGAGCGTTTAAAAATTAGGTAAGATGAGAATTTTCAGCCGTATATCTCAAAAGTAGCGATTGCAACGGCCGCCGAAAGCACAGGGTCCAGAGGAGATGTGTTTGTCGTTAATAGAACATCAAAACCCGTCGAAAACCTCTGAAAAAATCGGTTATTTTGATCGCGTTACAGTTTCGTTACACATTCTATAGACCGCAAACCAAGAGACTGAGGGCTCGCAAGATCGGCTTACAGTATAAACTACGGAAAGGGAGGAAACAAATTTGGGGCCGATTTTCGAATCTCTGAAACTCAAATGGAATTGAATGAAATCGCCTGATTTTACTAACCTGATCTAGAATTCTTATGTATTTGCCAAATACTGTAGGAAAACGGCATAAAAAAGCGTTCAAATTCATTTTCGGCGACCGAAATTTACGGCTTCGAGATAGCGCTTCCGTTCGCTGTGCACCGCAACAGATGGTATGGTAGCCTACACGACTTTTGCCTCATGCCCAAATCCTGCTCGTTCCAATAAGTTTTTTATTTCCTCTGCTGGGTAGATTATACTCTGGAAGGTTCTACATTTTCACTGAGCAAATGTGATTTTAGCGGGGATTTTAGCCGCATGTTTCACACTGAGAGGTCATGACACATATCGATTTTAATACTGTGGTTATTGAGGACTTCGTTATTGTTTCTGGTCGGCAGGATCTGCCCTCTGATGCAAGCGCATTTTCTTTGACCTGTTTTGAGGCGTAAAGCTTTTTATTACTGCTGAATAAGGGTTCCAATTTTCTCTAAAGTGCCTTCTGGATCTGAATATGCGTTAACAAGCCAAACTGTTGTACTCTTTGCACCCTAGAACGCAGTATAAAAAATTGGCCCATTTCTAGAACGGGGTATCAGTTTTAGGGCGAATTCTAGAACGGGGTATCAATTTGAGGGGAAATTTTTGTTAGAACGGGGTGCCAATTTGGAGTCCCGGGCGGCACATACCCACCCAAAAAATACCCAAGTGCCCCCCCTCCCCCCGAGCCCAGTAGTCGCAAAACGCACAGCCAAAGACGCAAGAGGTAATACAGTTGGGACCACTGAAGAATGGCACAGTCGTGATGATATTACTATTGCTATTATTAGTTGCCTTGTACGTCCGCTCTACTCAGTGTCACGTTTTATTGCAAGAGTACACACGAACCGTAAAAATCACTATCCGTAATAATTTAACATTCTGCAAACAAAACTAACGAGCTGGGCCCAGCGCTAGCGTGATACAGCATACAGAAAAACATTGAATAATTTCAAATGGCTGCTTACAAAACTGGAACTTTCGTGCGTTCGAAATATTATACCCCGCTGTAGAAAACGCCTCTGAAATGGGTACACCGTACTAAATCAGATACTTCAAAAAAAGACCCCGTTGGGCGGCCCCTTCCCCTTATAGGTAATGTATGGGAGTAACCCCCGGGCTACTGGAAAGCCTTCGCCCAAGCAAAACCTGCTTAAGGCATCGAAGACTGTTGACACGTACAACAAATGTCCAGTCTTGAAAGATCTTCACTTCAATTAAAACTCTGTTGCCTTCCCATAGATCTCTGAGATCTTTAAAACTCCCTCCGCAGCTGATGTTTTGATTCTCGAATTAGCAGCGGTCTGTTGCTTTTGCGTTTCCGGTCTCATTCACTTCCGTCACCGAGTGATGAGGTTCACAGCGAACGAAGTCACGTGGTACAAGTTTCCTCCCTTGTCCTTTCTTTTACTCGGCACTTCGTGCCTCGGTCGTCCTTCGGGCTACGTGCCGTGCGCCAGCGAGGATATGGCTTGCGGTTATTGATTTTCAAAAGTCGATCTGGGTCAGATAAGGGAGCATTCATAATTTACCTAGAGGGTGGGCTATGATGATTTTGAGGGGGGGTTACTCTTTTTCCCTACTATGATTTAGGGGGGGCTGTGGAAAATTTCCAACGAAAATTACATCGAGCATAGGGGGGGCCAACCATTTTTTTCCTGAAAAAGAAAAGGAAATGAAAATATGCTGATGGACGCTCTTATAATTCCTGTCTTTTATTTCATTTCGACAAAATGTTGATACAGAACTAGAGTATGAAACTTAACGCATGACGCCCACTTCTTGTGCTACAAGGTCTCTTTGCGAGTGGCTCAAACTCACTCTCGTCACCCTCCTCACACTCGCTCTCCTCACTCTCACTCTCCTCAGCCCCAAGACAGTGTCGTCGCCTTCGTCATCATCATCACCATCATCATCTGAGACTGCTTCTGGCTCTTGTA